CGTTTGCATCAGAAGGAGGGAAAATGAAAAATAGGGGTTCCTTAGGGAACCCTACTGAAAATAATTTGCTGTTGAAAGAAAACCTGATGAATATAATTGTTTGGGTAATTGTTTTAATAATTGAGATTACCAGATGTGCCATGGGAATATGGGGGAAGGCTTCTGCTCTCATGTTTTTCAGGGTATATCTGGAAAAGCTCAGTGAGGGCAGTACAGGCATACTGGTGTTATACTGAGAACCGGGAGACCGAATATGAGCTCTTTGTTTATTTGAGACCCTTATTCCTCTATTTTAAGAGGAACAGCTGTCAACTCTGATATTTTTTTTTTTTTTTGGTGAGGAGGCGAATCTGTAAAATTTCTGCAATGAGTGTTTTCTTGTTAATGCACCAGAAACGATATCAAAAAGCCTACTGCCGAGTAATGGAGAGAGACATAAAACACAAGGAGTTTGGCTGGAGTGTTTCTTTCGTCGTGCTACTTAGTCCTCTGCAATTACTCAGGGAGAAGATTTCCCCCCACCCCCTGCTCATTTCCCCCATCTCCTCTGGCTGTATCAAGGTCTCCGGGAGGGTGACCTGCCAGGACAGCTGCAGGCAGTGGGAGCGAACAGAGCCAAGAACAAGATTTGTTAGGGCAGAAAAACAGGGTTTCTCAATCGCTAATCCCGTGCGAGGAGCTCCTCCTTCTCTCCGTCTCGCTTGGGGGACACGGGGCTGGCTGCAGAGCTCATCACACAGCCAGAAGTGAAACCCTGCTTCAGTTTTGGGGGTTTTGTTTTTGTTTTAAATAGCTTTTCCATAATAATGAAAGCAAGAATAACTCCAAGTAGATACATGGAAAAGTAGTAGGAGAAAAATGGAAGGGAAGAAAGGAGACGAAGGGGAGTGAAGTAATAGTTATTGGCAGTCATTTTTGAAACCCTTCTGAATGCTTCACATCAATTTTTAGGGGAAATTTGGCCTTATTTTTTTTTTTCTTCTTGTACATATGTGCAATTTTCTTATGACTGAGAGAATTCAGTGACAGCCTCATTATAGAGAGTCATGTGTATACAATGTATTGGCAGGTAAAAGTAGATACTGGTAGACAAAAGGATAAACACGAAAAAATCTGTTACATAGGTATAGTACGGCTTCAACTACATCATTCAGTGATGAAAAATAATTCCTCTGGCTGCTGATAGCAGATAATTAAAATTTTCAGGGAGCTGCCAGTGAAAAATAGTTTTTTCCTTGATGTGTCTATGGAAATCCAGCACAGAGCATGTGGTGTTCCTGTGGCTAATGAATTCTAAAGCAAAGCCAGGAGCTGAAAATACGCAGAATCTCCCCACTGCAGGGATCTTTGGCACCATTGTGTGCCTCTGTGACTGAGACAATGGGAACAATTTTATGCTAATCAGCAGAAATAAAATGCAACATTTTGGTACAAGAGAAATTAGCTGACACCAGTACTTGAACTTTTCGAAGCAGAAGGCTTGGTTTGTGGGTTATCAAAGTGGATAACGCTGTGAGGCACTTCAAAACTAATGCAAGTTCTAGCAACTGGAATACATGCAACTTTGCAACTTCTTTGTTTCCCCCGCCCCCCCTTTTTTTTTTGGCAGCTAGAACATGTGCAACTTCTTTATTTTCCCCATTTATTTTTTTCTTTCTGGCTTCACTATCTTAAGGGATACAAACTATGTCTTGCTTACAATAACTTACTTCTTTGGATGGAAGGATCTACTGCTTTTGCAAGCCTAAGTTAAATGTTCCGCTTAAGGGTAGTTAAAAAGTGATTGATAATAGGTCCTCAGAAAACAAATAAAAAATCAGAGGCAGTGGCAGAGAAAGGTCAAAGGCAAAGGGCTAGTGGGGGTGAACGTGGTCAAGTAATAGGGGGTAATAGACAGGGGAGGCTGCGTGAATGTGTCTGTTGGGAAACCTTGTTATTGGATTGCCTGTAGGTCTTTTCAGCCAGCTCTGCTCCCAGACCAGAGCTTTTCCCGGACTTTTATAGATAACCCCTGGGTAACATGTGTGAAAGCGTGTTAAATGAATATTACATGTCATCATGCCGTGTTACACACTGAACATGGTAGAGACACACATGTACAAAAAATATAGAGACTTTTTACCTTGCGATGCAACTTCTTCCGCTTAAAGAAATAGCAAAATAAGTGAATTAAGGTACTACTTGTTACAATTTTTATAAGCATACTGCTTTAGTTGGGATTTATGATTTTGAGAGGAGGCAAGGTAAGCAGGAATCGTGGGCTCAATGCATTTCAGTGGGAGAATGAATGAAGTCAGATACTGCTGTTCAAATCAAAAATCTGCTGGTAGAGTATTGAGGATTCAGTGAAAGAGGGCTTTTGCTGAGAGAGAGCAGACCCCGAGGCCAAGACAGACAGCTTCAGGAAAATCACCTGATGCACAGTTCTTTTCAATAGCAAGACACATAAACTGAACCGTGGAGTTACTTAGGATGTAGAGGCAGAAATATGGAACGAGCTAATATCTTTGATTAAGGAAGTTACCCATCTTCTGTGAAACTGGTATTCCCAATGACTGTGCCTCAGTGGTAAGTCAGGTTTGT